GCTAGGTGGCGGATGGTAAAACCAATGTTGGGCATTGCTGGAAGAGTTTTATTCAAGGCGAACTGTCAAGGGGTTCCCATTATAACCAAACCGCGTAAGGAACGCAAAATCCGGGAACATAACACCGATATGACGGAAACTAGGGCGGCAAGAGTGGAACAAAACACTAGGCATAAGGCCGAGCCTTCCACCCTTTACCAAGTATATAGGTGCATTAAGATAATAAGATAATATAGTGATATCCCAACAATAAACAATGTTCCAATAAGGAACGATCTTCAATCTTTACCTGCAACTAGCAACGCTATAAGAGGGGCTGAGCAAAGCGGTAACATAGACAATCAACGGTTTGCTAGGACATGGTGGGTTAGAGGTTTGACATGGCAATTTGGGAGGCATGATAAGCAAGTGGTAGGCATCGTAGCATAGGCATAGCAAAAGAGCGAGCATCTAGCAAGCAAAGATAGAAGTGATTTCGAGGGTATGATCATCTTGCCTGCAAAGTTGTCAGAGTTGACTTGATCCTCGTAAGCGAACTCAACGGGCTCCTCATTCATGAACTCGTCTCCCGGCTCTACCCAAACAAGAACAACAAGCAAACAGAACACAATCAACCACGTGCAAAGCTCAAACAACATGATGCGAACATGGTATGGTATGCGGGACGTGGTATGGGATGCATATGCAAGATTTGACAAGGAATGATTGAACCTGGACTCAACTTGGAAATCCAAGAGTGCCACTGGAAAGGTGAGGTGATTTCGGTTGAAATCGATATAAAGGTCACCGAAATCGGTTGCACGGTTTGGAAATGGCAAGCAAAACAAATATGGCACCGGACTGCAATAATCAGCAAGTGACCAAATAAATGCATCAAGATAAATGTGCTATAGCACTCAAACATGACAACAAAATACATGGCAGGGGTCCACTCATGATGCTTGACAAAAGATGAACACTGAGCTACGGCTAATTCATCCATTAACAGGTTCAAACAAGCATGGCAAAAGTGCAAATGATAACAGGTTTCAGACTTTGTGAAATTAACACAAGTCTGGAATTTAACATCAGGAAGCACACTTTAGAACATGAAAACTATATGCTACAGGAACTTAACATGGCAAAGCAAGGCATGGCATGAAGTACTCAAAGCACTTAACAAAAGTCCCTTAGTGACCTTGAGCCAAAAGGGATAAGAAAATACAATTGCAAGCATGTGAACATGGCAAAAATATAAACAGATTTCAGACTTCGTGAAAAACTGGAGCATGCAAATCAGTTAACGAGTAGGCATGTTTACGACCTCGATGCACTCACTACAGAGCATGGAATGACCAACTAAGCATACACCCATCAAGAAGACATGGCATAGAAGCTAGACATGGCAAGAACAACAACATAGGATGCACGGATCAATAGCAACATCCTCGGCAAAATCGCTAATCATGTCAACAATCTGCCAAGATCACTTTATAGCAAAAGTAGAGCTCGATTGACTCAAGCTAGGGTGCTCCATAATTGCAAACAAAGACATGGATGGATAGAGCACCACAATATTAACAAACCATCCTTAATGATCATCCTCAAAAGAGGCATGAATCACTAGGAAACAACATGAACATATGGCATAACGACAAAATCAGGACAAGGACTTAGTGAAATTCTAAGTCCCTGAAATCAGCATTACCGATTACGCTACTTTGCAAGCTCGTGCTAGTCACCACAAATATCACAAAAATACATGGTAAGCACCTATGTAAAGATGACATGACATATAACAAAACTCATGTAGAGCTCAGGAGCATATCATGCACAAATTAAACATGGCAAAAATGACAAAATGCCATTTGATGAAACAGATCTGCCAAATTTCTCACATAGCCCTCTTCCAACAGCATTTCGGGCATCAAGATGAACTCAAATGAAAATGATGCAATGATTTGAAATGATGTACTGGTCGAGACGAACATTTTTATATGCTACATGCGCAAACCAAAGCTACAGACGCAGAGTTATGGCATGTCAAAGTATGCAAGAAAATTAGGGTTTCGGAACAAAAGTCAACCGCGGGATATTTCCAGATCTGAGATCCGGCCGGAGTTACTGTAGCAGAGGCGCGGAAAACGAGGTTCGCCGGGACCTGTTCGCCGGAATCGTCGCCGGACTTGACGGGGACGGAAGAGACGGCGGCTGGACCTTCGAGGGACGTCGGAGGAGCTCGCGGGGCACTCGCCGGCACCGGGCGGCGAGGTTGCCGCGGTGGGGCGGCGAGGTGCGGCCGGCCGGCGATGGTCGGCGGTGACCGGAGCGGAGCGAGCGGCGGCGGGGCGTCAACGGGCGGCGGCGCGACGGAGGAAGGAGAGGTGAGGAGGCGCGCGGGGTCTCGGGCCTGGATGGCGGCGGGGAGGGCCGGCCTCGGGCCAGGCGGGCCGGCGCGGGCGAGGCGGCGAACTGGGGACCCGCCGGGACACGTGACGCGCCCTGGTTCGTCGCGGGCGGCGGCGGCGACTTTGTCCGACCGGACCGGACGTGTCCGGCACGGCGCGGTGGAAGAGGAGCTAGGTTAGGGGTAGAATGATCCGCGAATTTTCGGGGAAGGCCTTTATATAGGGGTAGAGGAGGCTAGGAAGCTCCAAATGGAGTGCGGTTTTCGGCCACGCGATCGTGATCGAACGCTCTAGACGATGGAAGGGTTTTTTGGTGGGTTTTAGGCCAAATTGGAAGGGTGTTGGGCTGCAACACAAACGAGGCCTTCTCGGTCCCTCGGTTAACCGTTGGAGTATCAAACGAAGTCCAAATGGCACGAAACTTGACAGGCGGTCTACGGTAGTAAACCAAGGCCGCATGACAAGTCTCGGTCCAATCCGGAAAAGTTTAACCCCCACACACGAAAAGAGGTAGAAAGGGGCACCGGAGGAGATAGGAGCGCCGGAATGCAAAACGGACAACGGGGAAAATGCTCGGATGCATAAGACGAACACGTATGCGAATGCAATGCACATGATGACATGATATGAGATGCATGACAAAGACAACAACACACACGGAGACAAAAACCCGAAACCGAGAAAATAATATAACTTAGACCGGAAACGGCAAGAGTTGGAATACATATAAGGTAAATTACATCTGGGGTGTTACAGACCGCCGCCAGCCGCGGGCGGCAAAGGCAGGTGGTTCGGCGCTGCAGGAAGAATAGTAATAGCCGGAGGAAGAAGAAGGAATAGGAACTGTTGGAGTGCCATCTGAGATGCTGACAAATCAACTAACACAAGTTTTTTTTAGTCAACTTGCACTCTCAGTTAGGATCAGCAAACAACTAGTGCAACTCAGGCCCTCTTTGATTCGTAGGATTCTCAAAACACGGGAATAGGAAAAATAAAGGATTGGGGTGACATGCCCACTTGAATCCCATAGGATTAGTACATAGTGTTTGATGCCACAGGAAAAACAAAGAAAGTGAAAAAAAAAGGTTGGAGTGGATGCTAGATTTCCAATGAAATATAATAACATGATTCCATAGAAAAAAATCCTATAGGATTCAATCCTATGAATCAAACGACCAATGACAATGTAGAAAAAAATTCTAAGGGTTCTCTAGACTTTGTAAATATAATGCATGTCCTTAAGACAAGTGCTAGTGAAAAAAAATGGCACATCAGAGTCACCGGTGCTCAGGAAAGGAGATACATGCTTGAGTTTGCTTCACTGCTTCCCCAGTGCCTGCATGCAAAAGTGACCGTCTCTTTCTTATACAGCGCTTCATGCGGTGTTATTCTGAGTGCTTCTTTTCCTTTTCATCCACGCATATGATCTGATCACTGTACACCATTGTGCATTGGACGCCACAGGTGCTTGAGCCGGTGCTAGCAAGACAGGGAACGCAAGACAGTTGCCCCATCTAAGCACCTGTGTAGACTTGCTAGCTTTGGACAAAGCTAATGTTTTACAAGTGCTTAGTGACACCTCAATATTTCTCCTTAAGCACGTGTGTCTAAACACTCTGCACTGTACAAGGCTTTAACCTCCCTTTTTCTAGAAGAGAGCTAGGCCTCTCTTCCTGCCAACACTTGCCGAAACGGTTTTAAAGTCCATACATATGCAAATATGTAATCGTCTCCACAAACACTAAGGCAGCTGTCAAAAACCGTTTCCAGTAAGAACAAAACCTCGGGGTTACACGAACGCTGGACATCAAGCAGCAAAGCACAGATTGCCGCAGCATTACCCATGCCATCACAGTTCCAAAATAACAGCTTCATACTCCCTTCATTTCGAATTACTCGTCGCAGGTATGAATATATCTAGATTACTTGTTATAGGTATGAATGTATTTAGATGTATTTTAGTTCTAGATACATCCATTCCTACGACGAGTAATTTGGAACAGAGGGAGTAGATGGCAGCGGTCTCCTCCACGAGACCCCGTCGATCCTGTAAAACTTCCAGATGCAATCGCAAGGAGACCTCACGAACAAAACAGGAACCCTAGATGCAGCATCACCATCCCGCCCACCACAAACGCTCAAGACCAGGAAGTGGCTCAACGACCACCCCTTGATAACTCAAGAACCACCAGCATCTAGGGAGAGTAAAGCAACATAGTAGAACATCTGCTTTCATTAAATTATTATTATTATCATTAGAAAGATATAAACGCAACAGTTCACCTTTGCCGTTTTACTCTCAATCTGCTAAGACTACGATAGTTACCAACCAAAACAGCCAGTAATAATATACCAATTCCCCATATGTAATAATGCGGTAGGAACCAAAGGACTAGCAAACAATTCCCGTACATTCCATCGACCATTACACATCGGAAATTGAAACTTGAAACAAGCGACTAGAAAACTGCCTGTAAACTTCAGTTAAGATTCTGTTCACAGCTCGCAGAGAATACAAATACGAGAGGCAACACATGGCCAGGTAGAATTCCAGGGGTGAGGCTTCTCCCTTCCGAGGAACACCAGTGATAATGTTCTATATGGGTGCCATGCTCAACGGTTACCACCACCGCTGCGGACACCATATCCCCCTCTGCCTCGCCGCTGCTGCTGACCACGCCGCTGCTGGTTAAACTGATGGCCATTGGTAGGAGCTTTTGGTTGCTGCGGTGGCATGACCCTCATCCGTTGCTGCTTCATCTGTGCAAAGAGCGCATCCATTGTCCTTGGAGGCTCATTCTGCATCTCCTTACCCTAGTAACAGAAAGAAAACATTATTAGCAATGCTACAAAAAGGTATTAGGTGGACAACAAATGCAATACAAATATGAAATGTTTAGGCAGGGTTTCATGTCTCATGCAACTCAAGAAAAACCAGTGTGTTTCATGTTTGTCATCGAGGTGCAGAAAAACATTGCAATAGGAAAAACACATGAATAAGATATCATATACTATGGTTTCCTACACGATCTCGAAAATAGGAATTTTGAAGTAGTGTGTTTCGATGGTTCACAGGAAATAAATACAGGAATTGTGAAGGCATGAGGAGAGTCCATAGAGATAGAGAAAGTGTATTGGACTTCTGAGAGGAAAAGAAAAATGAGGTTTAGCACATATTAGATTTCCTATGGAATTGTAGGCATGGGATGCATCCCACTGGAATTTGACAAGCCAGAATCCTACATCCAAAACTCAAAGGGCTGGAACCAACATTTGTGCAAAATACAATACAAAAGGGCGCTTAAAATGCTAGATGTCACTCTGCAAAGAAGATGCTATTTTTCGATAGTGGAAATGCGTGCAAAACAAACACGCATCAAGATATGTTACTAGGAGTTGAGTATGAAGTCGTTTTTTAAGCAACTTTCCATGCATGCACAAGAATACCTTCCAACTCCTAACCGTCATAAATGGAAAATATTATCATATGCCAATCTAGTTTTAACTACTCCAATCAGAGAAAGATATGTGTAAATGTGTATTGATGTCTTCCAAGTAAAAAACCAAATCTCATAACTAGCTCCACTACCTACCATAAAAGGCATATAAACATCTATATTCTTCCCCTTAGATAGCCATCCCCGCAGTACTCTTTAGAATAGCACACTGGTGCGATCTCTTCTGTAACCACAGACCCATCAGTGATCGCTTTTAGCAGGCATATATATGACCACGGCATACACAGGGCGACAAACAACTTTGTGGGTTTCATATCTGGCAAGTACCTTCAACTAAACATGTGGAGTATTAAATACATCTACTACCAATCAATACTGATAATACTGGATAACTGATCCAGATCAGCATGGCCTATTCTGAAACAAGCAACAGTATCCTTTTTTGGAAGTAACATTTTCTATTAGCACGATGTTTTTGAAGCAGCATAAAACAAGTGAAAAGGTTGGCACCAACAATCAGAATGCTAATTAGATAAAAAAAAATAGCTACTAGCTGTGCTACAATGGTGCTCCCATTCCTACAAGGTAGAGAACTTAAGCAAGTGGACAAATAGATCAACAAGGTTTACACATTAAATAACAACAAAATTAGAAGGCTTGTCCTCAAATATTATAAAGAACAATGATCATAGCTTATATTGCTAAGTCTACTTCCATTTCAAATCAGTTTGTACCTTGCTGTTCTGAAGAGCCTCGCTTACGGGCCTCCTCTGTGCTGAGGTAGACGGGCCACTGCATACAGAGCAAAACATTAGTGGCCCACATGAGGAGTTACCTACCAAGAATCGTGCGCAACAGAGAACCAACAGGTAGTTTTAATGGTCTGTTCTTCATGGTGGTAAAGCACAATCACCATACTCTTCAAAATAAGAATTCTCTATGTTCTAAATCAGGTGCACATACCATGTTTTTGAACAAAACAAAGCAATAAATGATAACTATAACTGATTTCTGATCAAAGACTGCATATATAGATTCCACTTGATCCATAAGGCCTCACATCCTATACTGTTACATCCACCAAATGAATGCAGACAATCCAACAACTTTCCCAGTTGACACAATTTTACTGCTTGGTCAGACCGTTAAGCTCATGATAGCAAGTTAGACTGCTGAGACAATCAAGCCAAAGGAATGCTAGGAATCAAGGAAAGTGATCACATGAGTTGGTCCCAAAAGGCAGCCTCCATACAGCACGGCGTACTGGGATGATTCTTGACAAGAAAAAATCATGAGATACCATGATATACTATTACCCAGTTGAACTGCGGACACATGGCTAGCTTCTTTGCTGAGAACCAGTGAACAATTGAAAACATAGAGCACTTGCTGATCGAAATCCAAGATAGGCACTGGCAATAATGCACGACACTATGATACAAACCAATCAGGCATATGAGAACAGCAGCAAAAATAAATTACTGAGACACAGCATACGACAATTTTGTTGGTGTGAACACACTAACCTACATTCACACTGTTTTCATGAACAAACAAAAGCTTATCGTCTGCACAATTTAGCTAGTGGTCAAAACCACTTTATCTCTGGTCATACAAAGGATCTGTGGTGTCCAGTGGCCAGTGGTATCAGATGCTAGAAAGTATCATATCCAGCTCCTACCAAGCCAGCAAATGAGAACAAGGTTGACCGCCCAAATAAATAGTGTTGACCACCCAAAATAGCACCAGTCCAACTGCTAATACATCATAAATAGCCTTGTTGTATGTAAGGCAACACCAGATGTACATCCAAGGTGTTCCAGCAGCTTCACAAATTTGACCATCAGTCCATTACAGCCAGAATAAAAGTTTTTGATCACACAGCCATAATGAAAGTAATCCATAGCTTTGTGAGTTTAAGGCCCTTAGATAACCATGCAATCCAATATGATCTGCTCAGTTTACTGCAACTCTTATTCATCGTGTATTTCTCACACTTCAACCAAAAAGTAGGCCTTGTGCCACAATACTACGAAGTTGGTTGATGTTTATACTTCCATGTGAACCAATGGAATACAGATAGCAGCAAAATTAATATGGGTTCAACAGAAACACCAGCACCATAACTTCAGCCAATAGACCCAAAGGTGCAAGTCAAATTATTTAACGGGTCCTTGAATGCCACCTTATCGTAAGCAATAAAAGAACCATTGTTTACCTGTTCATAATTTGTTTGTTCAGATAAAGTGACTAGAGTAACTACACAAAGACAGATAACATTGTAGTGATTTGTTGATACCTTGGTTTGTTCCATCTGTCAGCCCTACCGCGCACAGGCATAGTAGCAGCCTTGTTTGCAGCCTGCTTTGTGATTTGGAACTGATTTGCATCAAGATTTGACCTCCTTTGTGCCAGAACACCCTAATAAACCAAAGCAACATTAGAAAACCAAACATAAGGCAATCTATATACAGTAACTTTGAGTAGCACATACTTGTCGTATAGATGATCTAGACTCATGAAATCGCTGAACCTTTGCCTTCCCTTGATTACTATTACCATTCTGAAAAGGACGCTTTTTTACCTGTGATTACAGAAAATATGGTAATTATCAGAACTTGGCAGTACATTATAACAATGTAAAGGAAGAGGGGCACAACAACAACAACAACAACAAAGCCTTTAGTCCCAAACAAGTTGGGGTAGGCTAGAGGTGAAACCCATAAGATCTCACAACCAACTCATGGTTCTGGCACATGGATAGCAAGCTTCCACGCACCCCTATCCATGGCGAAGAGGGGCGCACTCAAATGAATTATAAGGCCTACCTGCTGTCTAGGGGCTTTCTTGCCTGCAGGACCTTTTTTCTTTGACATCTTAATAATATCCTCTGTATAAACACACAAGAAAAAACATGAGCTAAGTTAATCTCCAAGATATGAATCAGTGTCACAGAACAAACAACAAATGAATAGCATACCCAGAGTCATGTCCATCTTTTTCTCAGTAAAAGCAATAGCTTCAGCAGTGAGTGGCACTGAATCCATATCTGAAAGCAATTAGGGAAAGAATCACTAAAATGCACCGATACGGACAGGTGTATCAGTATCGGGCCGATAAAGATACGTAATTTGCCATTTTGGAAAAGCGCCAATACAGGGATACGTTTTACTAAATTTTTTTATTCAAAAAAAAATGTGTACAGAAGCTAGGAACAGCAGATTACCTTGTTTGCTGCTCTCCTGAGGATGCTGAAGCAGCTCCAAGCCTCTCCAATTGACTATGTTGATGCCCTGTTCAAAAGGGATATGATTAGACTCTTAGTAAGTGTAGAATTAATATGGAACAAAATCAAATCATTAGGGAGTGATTGGTTCAGCTGAAAATTTTGGAAAAGCTGCTGTGAACTTTGGGAAAGCAGCTGTGAGAAAGCTGACAGTTGCTTGGTTGGAACAACAGTGAAACTGTGGATTGAGTTTGAATAGTCCGTAATGCCCCCTAATGACCCTGAAGGAAAATTTCATTTTTGTAATGTGAGTTCTAAATTATAGCACTACACATGCTCTTTCAAAGTTGAAGAGGTTTCTGAATTTATGTAATTTTGTTCAAATTCACCAGCATATGCAATTCAATTTTTACACAATAATATTCATAGAAATTCTGCACATTGTTTCATTTCAATCAAATCCGTAGAGATATTTTCACCCCCAAAAAATCAAACTTGTGACTTGTTGGACAGAGATTTAAAACCAAAGCATATTCATTCTTCCAAGACGAATACAAAGAACTGATGGCACGAGTATACAACAGAAAGCGTTGATCAATACCAACCTTTGAGCCAATGTTAAAAAAAAAGCTGAAAGCGGAAAGCGTAAGCGAAGCGGAAGGCCACAGCTTAGAGCAGTTGGGCGCTTGAACGTTTTTTTGTGTTTTTTTTTTTGCTTTCGAAATTGGACAGAATATGGCTGCTTTTGAATAATATTCACAGGAAAATAGGAAACATAGCACATAAATAATTGAAATAGCATGTGAAATGCAGTGCACGCCATTGTAAATACACAACAGGTTCACACAGCAAGCAAAATAGCAGGTAAAAGCCTAAAATGGAGTTCATTTTCAAACAAACATAGCCTAATAATAAGATAAATGGCATGTTGCCATCAATTGCCCAAGCAAGCAGAAGCATATTTCACCTGTTTAGAAGCATAAACAATAAAAGAGAACTTGAGGAAACAGACATTGCCCCTTAGTTTTGGATTTAACGACAGGTACTGCATGTTGTGTTCACATAAATGGGTACATGGGGTAATTATGTGTTGCAGGAAATTTCAATGGTGTGAACCTATCAAAGAATAGTATCAAATGTTGCCATCCACTATCGCAACACCCTCTCCTTTCCCCTCCCTTCTAACCCCAGCCGAAAACCCAATTTCAGCCCAGCCCTTATTACCCCCATTTTCCCCTCCCACCTAGTCGACTTCAGCTCCAGCCTAATAGATTTCCCAGTGCTTTCGCTCGCCAAACCACGTGCAGCGCACACTAAACCAGCGCCTAGCGCTAAATCGCCGCCAAAATCCCGCTAAATGTCGCCTAGTGTTAAACCATCGCCTAGGGCAGAAGCGAGGCAGTAAGCCATCACTCAGCGCCTAAGCACGACTAAGTGTCACTTAAAAACGATTTCCCAAACATTGCTTTGAACTTATGGCACAAATACATAACAAAAAACTAAACGATTGACAACTGCAAACATAGCTCACTGCATCCATCAAGTGTGCATGTCAGGTAACATCATCTCAAGGTTCATGAACCACGCAAAACCAACCCCTACATTGTAAAATTATCCCATCTAGGACTGCATGGTGCCATCCACATCTGCTTCCCCTTACACTTCACCGAACATGTACAACCAGTACAAGAAAAGCCAGACCAAATGGACACAATCAATTATCCATCATCAAATACAAGCACCCACTACATGGACACAATCTGAAACCTATAGCAATTATTCATCACCAATTTTGAATAAAACATTCTACTTTATCAAAAGAAGTTAAAAAAAAGTATGCAGTCTAGCAAAATGAAACTAATGCATACTATGGTCTAGGTAAAGTCCAAAGAAAAAGCATGGCATTCTGCCGATTTTTGCAAGAGCCAAACAAAACAAAAATCTCCTCTACTCCCCGTGTGTCGACAGAGTAAACATAAACAAAAATAATTCATCTCCTCTACTCGCACTAAACGCGGATCACTCTTCCAAACAGAGGGATTGCACCAGTACATGTACATGTTCAGTTTGGCGCATCTACAAAACAACTGAACCAGCCATCCCTCTTTAAATAAATAAACAATATAAACGATGTGCGATCTACAATCCAACTGAACCAGCCATCCATCAACAGCAATTCATACAAATACGTATACAAAGGAAAAGGAAATAAGAGCATGGCAGGGTATTCTAGAAAAAATAAGAGCATGGCAGGGGAGGGATGGAAGGAGTAGGAGGGAGGAGTAAGGAGAGGTGGTTACCTAGTGACGCGGCGCGGCCCCGGACGGCCGGCGCTACACGAATACCCGCCGGGGCGGATGGAGGTTCGCACGAG